GCTGATCCCAGTCAACGCTACTTCATTTTCATCATCTTCTTTCTTGCCTTTCTTTTTCTGTTTTTTTTAGGGGAGCTGGGGTGCGGGGGGGCTGGAGGGGGCATCTCATTTGCCCATTCCCAAGTTGTTTACAGATGTCTGTTTTATATTTGTTTTGCTGATGTGGTTTCACACTACTTTGAGCTTCCTGCATGTATCTGACCGCACTTATGGCTGCATTCAGCAGAAAAAAGTCCTGGTGCAAGTTTGCCCTCAGTCACATTTCACTGGTTTCAGTCAACCCTACGTCACTGGGGATCCGGTCGTTTTTCCCAATTTCCACTTTGTGTAGCTAACTTTAAAGTTTAAAGATGTCTGTTTTATGCTTGTCACAAAAAAAAAAAAAAAAAAAAAAAAAGCTTGTCTTTTTGTGCTGATGCGGTTTCACACACCTTTAGGCATTGGTCCACCACTTTCCAAATGCTTATCGTGTTCACATTTAGGTGAGTTATGAAACGGTTTTGCATTTGGCAAGTCATTATAGAATAAGTCCCTGAATAAGTCCCTTTCAGCGTCTTCTCGTTTTTAATGGATAGCCCAACCACCAGTACATGACCCAACTATTTGTTTTCAACGTGGCGGCGTACACGCCGCTGCTTTTGGGGTTTGGCCTACCGGATTGGTTGGCGGCACCAGCCAAAAATGAGAATAAAATTGCGGCCCGCTAGGCTACCAGAGTGGCCCACTACCGACTTGCCTGACTGGGCCAAAAAAAAAAAAAAAGGAGTTAAAAAATATATGTACGAAACAGTTTGTCACAGCTCCTCATTAGTTGTCCTCTTCTCCCTCTCTGCCTACGGTTTTACCGGGCAGCTGTGTTTGACTATATATGTATTTGTTTCGTGGATGTTTTGTTGTTTCGTGGATGTTTTGCTGGCTTGTGATGGGGTGTGAACCGACAGTCTGTAGAGTTTTCCATCTGGTGTGGGTGAGTGATAGTCGACTTTGATTTTGGTTAAGGTAGATTATCATTTACAGTGTAATCAGTGAGGGGATTCTGCAGACTGTTGAGGGTTCAGCCTCCTGATGAGTCGGTGAAACTCTGACGCAACAGTTTGTCACAACCCCTCGTTTGTTGTCCTCTTCTCTCTCTCTCTGCCTACGGTTTACCGGGCAGTTCTGTTTGTATATATTTGTTCTTTAAAATTTGGTAAGGAATTTCGATGTGACCCTGAGGCAAACGTTGTTCAGTTTAGTTTTCTTCATAACGCAAGTATTTTTCAGATGTTTTTTTTTTTTTTTTCTCCTGGGACCTTCTTTGGCCCCTGCACGGCCGCTCCGCCCGGGCAAACAAGGTGACTTGGGCAGCACGGCTGGTAGCCTAGGTGGTGCGCCATCTGTTTTTTCTTTTTTGTTTGGCTCGCTGCACACATCTGCCTCGGGAAAGAGAGGCTTTGATGTACTGGTTGGTGGTTTAACCTTGATGTATATCCATCAGGGTTCAAACCATGATTATGATCCAGATGTACGGACCGCAGTGCAGACGGTCTAGGTCTGGATGTTCCGGGTCCGGTGCCCGTTCCAGAGTGTCGGGATCCATCCCCCCACCCCCACCCCAAAACTTAATCCGACTTTTAAAAAATCAAAAAAATCTGAAGAAAAGATGTGTTATGCGGTATTGCAATACGAAATTCTTTTGGCTGATGACCATCTCAAAACTCGTACTGAAATCCAAGGAAAAAAGTAAAAACGTTTTTCATTTTCTTCTAAAGGGGGTATTTCAATTGGAATGGTCCGAGCAGCCCAGACACAGGTCTGGCCGGATGCCTGAACTGGCCTGGTATTTCAATCCGAATGGTCCGAGCTGCCCAGACACAGGTCTGGCTGGACGTCTGAACTGGCCCGGGGTCCGGGTCTGGCAACAGGTATATCCATGTACCAGTCAGCCACCAGGGCCAGGGCCCTGGACCCACTAGCGAAGTATTCTACGATGTGTGACGCAATTTTATGGTTTTTTGGAAAAGACAAAGTCATTTTTTATTTGCATGAATGGATCGTTTTCTGATTTAAAATGAATTGAAATGGCACATAAAACAAAGAAGAACAGCTGTGCACCCGAATTCATGGGTTGGTACGATGTCCTTCACGTAAGTCTTCATAGCATACTTGCGGCGCACCGGCACTGTGCGCTGCGCGGTGCGCTGTGTGCGGACTCAGGGTGCGTGCGCATCTGGGTGCGCAGTGCGCGCTGCACGGTGCGCTGTGCACGTCTGGTGTGCTGCGCGCATGTGCGCAATGTATATTTCCATGTTCTAGTGGTGGATTCATTTGATTTTGTTCTCTCTCTTTCTCTCTCTCTCTCTCTCTCTCTCTCTCTCTCTCTCCCCTCCCGACTTCTTCCGCCGCTTCCCACCATCCCACCTTCAGCCTTTCTCTCGCCTTCCGCCATCCACCATTGCTACTTCTCTCTCCCTCTTCCC